GGGGATATCAGAGGATTATATATACAGGAGCACGCTTCCAGGGACAGGGATATCAGAGGATTATATATACAGGAGCACTCTTCCAGGGACAGGGATATCAGAGGATTATATATACAGGAGCACTCTTCCAGGGAGAGGATTCTTTAGTTTGCAGTAAAAGCTTTAGAAACAGTTTCAACACTTTTCAAAATCGGCTTTATTACTAAAAAGGTCAAAATGGTGCAATTGAGATATTTACAGAAATGGATGTTACAAAGACGTAAAGAGAACAATAATGTAAGAGAGAAATAAAAGAAAGGAGTTAAGAAGGCAGAATACTTGCAATGTCCTTGAATTTAGCCAAGTCCAATTGTCCGAACAAAAAGGTTGCCTTGGCTCTGAAGTCCATTAAGATGTTCCTTGGCTGATGTTAAACGAGAGCTCCATACTAGATCCAGTCATTCCCTTTTCGGGGGGGGGGGGGGGGGGGGGGGGGGGGGAGTCACCCAAGAACAAATGACCAATCATCCAATTTAGGGAAATGGGTGCTAGGAGGTCACCAAATTTATGACCAAGTCCCAACTACAGTTTCATACTAATATTAATAACTTCCAGTATGTACAGGTGGGATTTTAGCAACTGGCAGATTATTATTCAGAATTATATTTCAAACCCAGGGATACCAAACACAGCATACCCTTGACACCCAGGAGGAAAGGGATTGCTTTCTCCCCTTTCCTATGTGCTAACATAGTCATGTATGATCTTGATTTGTTCGGTATGATATTCCTCATTCAAATATATACCTAATATTAATGTGCCCTGTTCATGTTGAATGCTATGAATTGTATGTGGAAATGTTACATGTGGAATAGACGTTTTGTGGCACTCTCTGCATTCCTAGAGCTCGAATGGCCCTATAGGTCATGTGCAACTGCTTGACTGAGTTATTATTATTTTATAATAGAGGAAAGTGTTTTCCATAGTTCCTAGAAACAGACATACTGTCAAGAATAATTAGCTGTTTACAGTCCTGGACAGGGCTGGAGGCTGCGAATATTGTGTTTTAATTGAGAAAAGAGGCTCTTTTGAACTTTGTTAAAAGTTACAGCAACAAATTCCAATTTTCAGGAGGGAGGAGGGGAGGAAGATCATTGCTCATGACAAACAAAAAAAATGTCTGCCACATACAGGTTCCATGTCTCTATTGCGCACAATCGTTACAGCGAATTGGATTTTGCAAAAGCGTTTGACACAGTTTCCCACACACGGCAGCATTCCAGAGACCTTTTTTTCTTTGTGGCCAGAAGACTACTGTAGGTGGAACATGCAATTTAATTAGGGGTGGGTCATTCATTTAATATGGACATGGTTCTACATAAAGCATATATACTGTATATACACTCACTGGCCACTTTATTATTTTCCCAATCTTCTATTGTCCAATTTTGGTGAACCTGTGTGAATTGCAGCCTCCTTTTCCTGTTCTTAGCTGACAGGAGTGGCACCCGGTGTGGTCTTCTGCTGCTGTAGCCCATCTGCTTCAAGATTGGACATGTTGTGAGTTCAGAGATGGTATTCTGTATACCTTGGTTGTAACAAGTGGTTATTGGAGTTACTGTTGCCTTTCTATCATCTGCCCATTCTGTGGACCTTAACAAGGCATTTTCCTCCACACAACTGTCGAGTACTGGATATTTTCTCTCTTTTTTTGGACCATTCTCTGTAAACCCTAGAGATGGTTGTGCAGGAAAATCCCAGTAGATCAGCAGTTTTTTAAATACTCTGACCAGCCAGTCTGGCACCAACAACCATGCCATGTTCAAAGTCACTTAAATCCCCGCTGTGGTAGGTGGAGGGATCTGTGTCCACGCTGTGTTAGGTGGAGGGATCTGTGTCCCCGGTGTGGTAGGTGGGGGGGATCTGTGTCCCCACTGTGGTAGGTGGAGAGATCTGTGTCCCTGCTGTGGTAGGTGGGGGATCTGTGTCCCCGACTGTGGTAGGTATAGGGGATCTTTGTCCCCGCTGTGGTAGGTATAGGGGGGGGATCTGTGTCCCCGCTGTGGTAGGTATAGGGGATCTTTGTCCCCGGTGGGGTGTGGTAGGTGGGGGGGGGAACTGTGTCCCCACTGTGGTAGGTGGGGGGGGAATCTGTGTCCCCACTGTGGTGGGGGGGGGGATCTGTGTCCCCACTGTGGTAGGTGGGGGGGGGGAATCTGTGTCCCCACTGTGGTAGGTGGGGGGGGGATCTGTGTCCCCACTGTGGTAGGTGGGGGGGAATCTGTGTCCCCACTGTGGTAGGTGGGGGGGAATCTGTGTCCCCACTGTGGTAGGGGGGGGGGGGAATCTGTGTCCCCACTGTGGTAGGTGGGGGGGGGATCTGTGTCCCGCTGTGGTAGGTGGGGGGGGATCCATGTCCCGCTGTGGTAGGTGGGGGGATCCGTGTCCCCGCTGTGGTTAGGTGGGGGGATCCGTGTCCCCGCGCTGTGTTAGGTGGGGGGATCCGTGTCCCGCTGTGTTAGGTGGGGGGATCCGTGTCCCCGGTGTGGTAGGTCGAGGGATCTGTGTCCCCGCTGTGGTAGGTGTGGGGATCTTTGTCCCCGGTGTGGTAGGTGAGGGATCTGTGTCCCCGCTGTGGTAGGTGTGGGGATCTTTGTCCCCGGTGTGGTAGGTGGGGGGATCTGTGTCCCCGCTGTGGTAGGTGTGGGGATCTTTGTCCCCGGTGTGGTAGGTGTGGGGATCTGTGTCCCCGGTGTGGTAGGTCGAGGGATCTGTGTCCCCGGTGTGGTAGGTCGAGGGATCTGTGTCCCCGGTGTGGTAGGTGGAGGGATCTGTGTCCCCGCTGTGGTAGGTGGGGGGGGGAATCTGTGTCCCCGCTGTGGTAGGTGGGGGGATCTGTGTCCCGCTGTGGTAGGTGGGGGGATCTGTGTCCCGCTGTGGTAGGTGGGGGGGATCTGTGTCCCGCTGTGGTAGGTGGGGGGATCTGTGTCCCGCTGTGGTAGGTCAAGGGATCTGTGTCCCGCTGTGGTAGGTCAAGGGATCTGTGTCTCCGCTGTGGTAGGTGGGGGGATCCGTGTCCCCGCTGTGGTAGGTGGGGGGATCCTCGTCCCTGCTGTGGTAGGTGGAGGGATCCGTGTCCACGCTGTGTTAGGTGGGGGGATCTGTGTCCCCGGTGTGGTAGGTCGAGGGATCCGTGTCCCCGCTGTGGTAGGTGGGGGGATCTGTGTCCCCGCTGTGGTAGGTGAGGGGATCTGTGTCCCCACTGTGGTAGGTGGGGGGATCTGTGTCCCCGGTGTGGTAGGTGGAGGGATCTGTGTCCCCGCTGTGGTATGTGGGGGGATCTGTGTCCCCGCTGTGGTAGGTGGGGGGGGGAATCTGTGTCCCCGCTGTGGTAGGTGGGGGGGGATCCCTGTCCCCTGTGTGGTAGGTGGGGGGGGATCTGTGTCCTCGGTGTGGTAGGTGGGGGGATCCTTGTCCCCGCTGTGGTAGGTGGGGGATCTGTGTCCCCGCTGTGGTAGGTCGGGGGATCTGTGTCCCCACTGTGGTAGGTGGGGGGATCTGTGTCCCCGCTGTGGTACGTGGGGGGGATTTGTGTCCCCGCTGTGGTAGGTGGGGGGATCTGTGTCCCCTGCTGTGGTAGGTGGAGGGATCAGTGTCCCTGCTGTGGTAGGTGGGGGAATCTGTGTCCCCGCTGTGGTAGGTAGGGGGATCTGTGTCCCCGCTGTGGTAGGTAGGGGGATCTGTGTCCCCGCTGTGGTAGGTGGAGGGATCTGTGTCCACGTTGTGGTAGGTGGGGGGATCCTGTGTCCCCGCTGTGGTAGGTGGGGGGATCCTTGTCCCCGCTGTGGTAGGTGGAGAGATCCGTGTCCCGCTGTGGTAGGTGGGGGGGGATCTGTGTCCCCGGTGTGGTAGGTCTAGGGATCTGTGTCCCGCTGTGGTAGGTGGAGGGATTTGTATCCCTGCTGTGGTAGGTGGGGGGGGATCTGTGTCCCCGCTGTGGTAGGTGGGGAGATCTGTGTCTCCGCTGTGGTAGGTGGGGGGATCTGTGTCCCCGGTGTGGTAGGTGGAGGGATCTGTGTCCCCGGTGTGGTAGGTGGGGAGATCTGTGTCTCTGCTGTGGTAGGTAGGGGGATCTGTGTCCCCGCTGTGGTAGGTGGGGAGATCTGTGTCCCCGGTGTGGTAGGTGGGGGGAATCTGTGTCCCCGCTGTGGTAGGTGGAGGGATCTGTGTCCCTGTGTGGTAAGTGGGGGATCTGTGTCCCCGCTGTGGTAAGTGGGGAGATCTGTGTCTCCGCTGTGGTAGGTAGGGGGATCTGTGTCCCCGGTGTGGTAGGTGGAGGGATCTGTGTTCCCGCTGTGGTAGGTGGGGAGATCTGTGTCTCCGCTGGTAGGTAGGGGGATCTGTGTCCCCGGTGTGGTAGGTGGAGGGATCTGTGTTCCCGCTGTGGTAGGTGGGGGGATCTGTGTCCCCGCTGTGGTAGGTGGGGGGATCTGTGTCCCCGCTGTGGTAGGTGGGGGGATCTGTGTCCCCGCTGTGGTAGGTGGGGGGATCTGTGTCCCCCGCTGTGGTATGTGGGGGGGATCTGTGTCCCTACTGTGGTAGGTGGGGGGGGAATCTGTGTCCCCGCTGTGGTAGGTGTGGGGAGATCTGTGTCTCCGCTGTGGTAGGTGGAGGGATCTGTGTCCCCGCTGTGGTAGGTGGAGGGATCTGTGTCCCCGCTGTGGTAGGTGGGGGATCTGTGTCCCCGCTGTGAGTCGCACATCTGTGCTTATTCTGGTTGCTGTAAAGCCTCCTCGTGGAGGAGCCCCATATGGAACTTCCTGATTGGCTGCAGTTTTGTAACTTCTGAATGGTTGCAATGATGGAATTCACATCCTGGACGTCTGATTGGCTGCTGACAATATTCAGATCTGAGGAGCTGCAGGATTTGTATTACTATCCAGGACTGCTGTGATGCATGAAAACCAGATTAGAGGCAATATAGAGAGGACAGTCTGCATTGGTGGTGTGCACACTATTACCTTTGAAGTCTGGAAGATGAGCAAATGAGTTTCCCAGACAAATAACCGCATCGAATCCGGTTCCCGGAGGAGAGATATCCCGCTCCAAAGTCAGCCAATTTCCTTCCTCAATCACTGAAATATACAGAGAAATGATGAGGACTGAGGACCTGGCTGAGTGTTTTCTGTATATTATAGAGCCCAAGCCATACCCCATTGATCAAATGCCGGTTCTTTCCTCCGGTTCCAGCGGGTCTTTAGGGCGTATTTCAGCATTTTATCACTGGCATCAACGCTGACCATTGAGAAGCCTTCCTCCACCAACATCTCCGAATCCACACTAAGGAGCGGAAAAGGGCCATTAGTTAGGACTTCCATGGATGGACACATCTAGACTGATCATAGAGAAAGCCCCTCAAACAATAGAAGGAATTGAAGAATTAAATTGCAATGTTATAAAAATCGGTCTCATTATCTATCTCATTATGTGTCTCTTTGCCACAGTTTAGCATTTCCTTGGTGCAAAACGAAATTGATAAATGTCCCCCAGAGAGAGAGAGATCAAGTTGCAACCAGACTAGAGAGTCTTTGTCATAAATTTGAGGATGATTTGCTCCACAGTGCCTGCCACTAAGGAGGTGTTCTACAAATGCTGGGTGCAAGAACTAAAAGCAAGTCATATACACACATGCAATCAACATGTAGTCACACACAGGTACTTTTAATCATCATTTACACCATTACATATTCTACACACATGAAAGACCCTCTACCCAATGAATACCTGCCTGGCACATCATAGCATTCACCGGGCACTCCAAGAAATAACAGAATCCAACTGCAATATTCTTACACTGTCAGAACCTCCACTTTTATTATCACACGACACACAGGAGGATATATCTTATAGTCATCACAATCTGTATAATAACTCACACCAATAATAATGTGAGCATCACAGCATGAAATAGACACATCATTTGACAGCGTCACAGCATAGAATTAATACATTACCAAAGCTATGTTAGAAGCTGAAAGGAACAAATCCCATCAGAACCATACTGCCCAGGAGGTCACGGGGAAGCCATAAGCATGAACGATTGATGAACCCATATAGCCTTGGCAAAAATCCCAGCATCAGAGCGTCCCCTCATGCATGGAATGGCTTCCTAATCAATCTCGCTTGGACCCTCGGCTTTTAAACCATTTTTCTGGAAGCTTTCCAATAGTGGGCGGGCGCCACACCCACCACAGGAGGAGCTAGCAGAAGGGTTTCCGCGAGGATATCAGAGTCATGCTCAACCAACATATTGATCCCACATCGTCATCCGAAAAGTCACATTTTTGCTTCTCATCTACCCTAAACTTCTCACCTATCCTAAACTTCTCATCTACCCCAAACGTAAAGATTTCTAACTTCCCAAGCAAGTAGACGTCTTTAAACAAGGATTTATCTCCTAATGTGAGGTTACTAGATGTCAAACACACATTCCATTCCATAAACACGTTTTTATCTTGCTCTCAGCAGAATATCTTGTGACTCTGTTCCTTTGCTTAGAGAAATTACATAAAGTCACCTCTCATGCTCCTGACATTTGGGTAACAATGCTTTATTGTAAAAATTACCCAAGAAACAAAGGGTCCAAGGCCAACACATTTCATAGGCATTACAGGAGGTAAGTGAGGGCTTTTTTTTAAAGCAGAATTATAGACCAGGGAGTAGCTGCAGCTTTTGTAGTGTGCTATGTATACTCAGCATGCTTCACATTATGGCAGACTTACCTCCCAGTTTTCCTTCCTCTAGAGCTGATACAGTTTGAGCTCTCATCGCCTGCTGCCATCTTCTCTTCTTCCACACCTTCTTCAGCTATTTTACAGCCACAGATGATGTAATGTAGCAGAGCACCCCTTTACTAACCATGCTCAGTTGCAGATTCAAGTGTTCTGCCTTCAGCAGGGAAATTCAGTCTGAAATATTACATTTGGTCCACTAGATGGAGCCTGGAAGAAATGTACTGTTTTGTAGAAGCCAAAGACTGTTCAGCTTTAATGAAAGCTCCCATCATCCTTCATCAAGGGAAAGGGAGGCAGGTGCATCTTGGAAGCTCAGACTCCATTTCAAGAACTGAGGGAAAGGAACAAGACATACTTGTCTGCAGCACATGTCATGGACTGACCTTACATCCCCTACAGGCAGCATCACTGGTGAGCATGGACTTATTGCCATCTACAGCCTAATCAGTTCATTGAGTTTTCTGATTTCATACATTAATTAGATGCACTTCTTACAGATTTTTCGTAATTGTTTCACCCCGCCCTGTTTTGTTAATAAAGCTTCAAGATTACATTCAATCTGGCATATTGCAGAACAGGAGAGTTTAGCTGAATGTCGAGTTACAGGGGAACGTGTAGTGAGGACAGAACAAACAGTGGCTACTCAGCAAGCAGGATACACAGTGACTACACAGAGGTCTGCATAAGGCCACACAGCAGCCTGTACACAGTCAAGCATCTCCACAAGCAATATGTCGCAGAGTCAAATATCTTCACTTAAAATTACTCCAAATGGTCTCAGCCACAAGTAAGGCACTTACCACCGTTTCTGCAAAAGCAGAAGTCACAAAAGCCAGAACAATCTTTACTTAGCAGGAAATGCAGATAAAAAAGAGAGCAAATATGGAAAGCAGAAAGCCTCACTAGAAACAAACATAGAGAAGGGTACTGTAGAGAAAGAAGTGGCAGCTGCTAAAGCCGAAGCAGAGGCCTTAGAATGAGCCAAATACCCTGATAGTGAACACAGTAGACATGGCAGTGTGCTCGGTCCACAAGCTGAACCTCAAGATCCTCTACAATCCAGAATATATCTCTCAACACTCTGGGCCAAGCAGAAACAAGACTCAAATCTGCAAATGAGAGAACTCCAAGCAAAGTGAAACCTCTTCTGACAAACATCTTACGTGCCAAGCACCAGAACCTACCTCCAGATTCTGCCTTCACATCAGAACGGTACACCAGGAACTGGGTTAAACCAGAGACTCCTAAAAGGTACAATTACATACCACCTTCTCACCATAGCAATAACCAAGCCACAGTAGGCTTTGCCAAGTTCTTTGCACAACGTGAGTTGGTCACAAAGGGCCTTGAAAGGTTTAATAACCGCCTTGAATGCTACAGAGCCTGGGAATCTTTTTTCCAAAACACCATCAGAGGCTTAAATCTGTCATGTAGTGAAGAGTGTCAGAACTTTTATAAGAAAAATGTATTTATATTTTATCATTTTTAATTTTGGACTGTCTAAAACAGGTTCCAAATAAGCCAAGACCAATATCTCCATTTCATTTTGACTTTTCCACCAAAAGACATTCTGTTGTTCTCAACTGGACCAGTTTAGTCTACAAAGTGTAGACAGTTAATTAAAGTCACGGCCCTGGTGGTGTCCGGACAATGGAGTGCTTAGTATGCATACAAACCTGAGAGAGCTTGTAGTACTTTGAGACTCAGCAATATTTATGAACTAACAAAACATTATTTGACAGATCAACAAGAGAGGAATCTCTTGTATTGGGAAAGTCCAGTCCATTGAAATACTTGTGGACATACAACTGACAGCCCAGCACTTGCCATTGTCTCAGCTCTGAGAAAGAAATACAGGACAAGACCCTCTCCCGCAGACATGAACTGTAACAATTTCACAAGCGCAAAGCATTTATATAATGTAAGTCAGTTCACAGACTCTATATTCCAAGTCATAAGGAAGCCTTTATGACACTGTGCAATATATAAGTGGCCACCTGTGCAATAAGTCCATCCCCGACATTTCCTGGCTACTAAATATTCCACACTCAATTGTTAGTGGGATTATAACAAAGTGGAAGCAACTGGGAACAACAGCCACTCAGCCACCAAGTGGTAGGCCACGTCACATGACAGAGCAGGGTCAGCGCATGCTGAAGTGCGCAGAAGTTGCCAACTGTCTGCAGAGTCAATAGCTAAAGACCTCCAAACTTGGTGTGGCCTTCAGATTAGCACAACAACAGTGCGTAGAGAGCTTCATGGAATGGGTTTCCATGGCCGAGCAGCTGCATCCAAGCCTTCCATCAACAAGTGCAATGCAAAGCGTCAGATGCCGTGGTGTAAAGCACGCCATCACTGGACTCTAGAGCAGCGGAGGCGTGTTCTCTGGAATGACCAATCACGCTTCTCTGTCTGACAGTTCAATGGACGTGTCTGGTTTTGGCGGTTGCCAGGAGAACAGTACTTGCCTGACTGCATTGTGCCGAGTGTAAAGGTTTGGTGGAGGGGGATTATGGTGTGGGGTTGTTTTTCAGGGGTTGGGCTTGGCCCCCTAGTTCCAGTGAAGGAAACTGTTAAGGCAACATTCTGGACAATTTCATTCTTCCAACTGTGAAAAGAGTTTGGGGGTGGCCCCTTCCTGTTCCAACATGACTGCCCCCCAGTGCACAAAGCAAGGTCCATAAAGACATGGAGGAGCCAGTTTGGGGTGGAAGAACTTGACTGGCCTGCACAGAGTCCTGACCTCAACCCCATAGAAGAGCTTTGGGATGAATTAGAGTGGAGACTGCGAGCCAGGCCTCCTCCCCCGACATCAGTGCCTGACCTGACAAATGTGCTTCTGGAAGAATGGTCCAACCTTCCCATAGACACCCTCCTAAACCTTGTGGACGGCCTTCCCAGAAGAGTTGTTGTTATAGCTGCAAAGGGCGGGGCCAACTCAATATTGAACCCTACGGACTAAGACTGGGAGGCCATGAAAGGTCATGTGTGTGGAAAGGGCGGGGCCAACTCAATATTGAACCCTACGGACTAAGACTGGGAGGCCATTAAAGGTCATGGTGTGGAGGGCGGGGCAACTCATGAAAGGTAAGACTGGGAGGCCATGTCATATGTGTGGAAAGGGCGGGGCCAACTCAATATTGAACCCTACGGACTAAGACTGGGAGGCCATTAACCTCCCTAGCGGTATGATTATGCTAGTATTTCTGTGCTGAAAGCGGTACTTTTTTTGCATGGAAATATGTCGTTTTTTTTTTTATTGTCGGTCTGTAATTTTTAGGAATAACTGAAATCTGTCCTAACAAGAGTCTAGTAAACATTCCGGAGATGATAAAAACTTGAAACACAAAATCAAATTATAATATAATGAACAATCATAAAAAATAATATATTATTAATAAATTTAATTCAATAATATAATCAAACCAAAAACACTGAAATGTGAAATATAGCGCCAAGTTGGCCCATCGCTGAGCTCAGTCGCAGAATCGTTTTCAGCGTCCGATGAGGAATTTCCCCTACGAATCATTATC